TTGAGAGAAACCATCTACAAACACGTGTTTCCCAGTCTGAAAGGATGTTTCATTTAGATCAGGTCTGACTTTTGTTTGATAACTAATTAAATCTAAACATCTGTGTTCTGGGCAAAGCTCAGGGGTCTGTGGGTTGGGGTTTCCTGTTAAGAAAGCAGCTGGATTAATTGAGTCATCAGTGGTTAAGGTTAGATCATCTCTTTCTAACAAGGTGGTTTCGTACTTAAAAATTCTTGAATCAGTAAGCCACCTTGCCGCCTTCTGATTGAGAATTGTTCTCACTTGGTGAGGAGAACTAATGATAAGATTTCCCCAAAGGTTAATTTTCTGCTCTCCTCTCTGAGAAAGGCTGTTGCTGCCACTGATTGGACACATTCAGGCCATCCATGGGCTACTGGGTCAAGAATTTTTGACAAGAAGCTACGGGTTGCCAATGGCCTCCATGTGTTTGAGTAAGTACCCCTAAGGCTACTTCATTACCTACATTAGCAAAAAGATGAAAGGGCAATTCTAAAGAGGGTAAGGCTAGAACATGGGCTGTCACTAGTAACACTTTTAATTTTTTTGTCTGCTGTATTTCTGGTAAAAACCATATAAGGGGGTCCGATTCATCCTGTGTAAGTTCTTTTATATAGAGGTTTGGGTCACTAAAACATGAGTCTATCCATAAGCAACAATACCCTACTAACCCTAAAAATTTTCTAAGTTCCTTCTTTGTCTCAGGCAGAGGTAAGGATATGATGCCTTCAATCCATTCAAATCCAATTCTCCATTTGCCCTTACTGATTAAGTGCCCTAAATACTTGACTTCAGGTTCTACAAACCAAAGTTTGCTTTTTTGACACTTGTAATCCCTCCAGTTGTAAATTATTTATAAAACCTATTGAAAATCCTTCTTTTTGTCTATCCTCCCCTGAAATAAGCATATTATCCATGTATTGGAGCAGGCATATATATGACAGTCTGTAAAACTTTTCTATGATCTGTAGTAGTAATTGTCCAAACGAAATTTGGAGAGTCTGTAAATCCCTGGGGGAAAACTGGCAATCATACTGTTATTTTCTACTGGAGTGAGGGTCCTCCCATTTAAAGGCAAACAGGTCTTGGCTATCTTCTGCTAGTGGGCAAGCCCAGAAGGTATCCTTTAGATCTATTACTATGAACCACTCATGGTTGTATGGAATTTTACTAACAGTAGTATAAGGATTAGGAACAACAGGGTGAGTTGTTTGAACTGTTTGGTTAATAGATCGAAGATCTTGCACTAGCCGATATGGCCCATCTGGCTTTTTCACAGGCAGTATGGGAGTGTTATGAGACATACAGGGTTCAATGAGTCTGTCATGGAGAAGGCTTTCTATTATGGGCTTTAAATTGATCTTAGCTTCTAAGGGAATTGGATATTGTTTTCTTTTTACCTCTTCCCCCGGGTTTTTCAATTTAACTTGGATTGGGGAAATTCGTAATTTTCTTTGGTTTCCTTCCTTTGACCCTACATCTGGATGGATGTGTCCCTCATTTAGAGTAGCAAGCAAATTTAAGGAGGGGAGGAGTTTTCCTTGATTAACATAAAGGCCTAGGTTTAATTTTAGCGTTAAATCTCTTCCTGGTAGATTTGTTCCTGCCTCCGGGATTAACAGAAGTTTAATATTTACTGAGCGGTTCTGATATTTAATGTTTGTTTCTTCTAAGACTTTTGCTTTAAACCCCTCTCCTTTTGCTCCCGAAATAAAACTTCTTGTGACCAAGTTACAGCAGGGGGAAGATAACAAACTGAGGAATGAGCACCTCCGGAGTCAATTAAAAACGTGATATTCTCAGGTTACGGTCCCAACTCTACATTTATCAGGGGCTCTTGGTTGGACTCAAGGTAAAAAGAGTAGAGCCCCTGGCCCCCCATTCCTCCTCAAAGATCGTAAGTGGGGTGATTTCCTTTTCTTTTTTCCATTCAGGGCATTCTATTATAAAGTGATCTTCCTTCCCACACTTGAAGCATTTCTTTTGCCCTATTCCTCTTTTTATTCCCTTGTTCCCTGGTTTGATTCCTTTGCCTCTGTTCTAGGGTCTGGCAGTCGGGTACCTAAAAGATTTACTAGCGACATTTCTTTGAGCTGCCTGTTGGGGAGTTCCCTGCTGTAAGGATAGCAAATCTTTGCTTTGTGCTTTTGCTTTTCTTCATCCATTTGTACCTACAACATTTGGGCCACCCTTAAGAGTTCCCTATGGGATGGTCCTTCCAATTTTCTATCTTTTGTAATTTTCTATCTTTTGTAATTTCTTGGTAAGTCTGGCCAGCTGTTTGTGACAAAGTGAACGTTTAACATTCCTTGTCCAAGTGGGTCTCCTCCATCCAAACCAGCATATTTCCTCATTTGTTCCTTAAGCCTATTAAAAAATTCCTAGGCCCCTCATCCTTTTCTTGCTGTATGTTAAAAGCTTTGGTTATATTCTGGGTGCGGGGTACCAATTCTCTAATTCCTTTTATTATCATTTCTTGTAGATCTCTCATATTCCTCCTATGAGCTATGTTGTTATTATCCCACTGGGGATCTTGAGCAGGAAATTTCTGTTTGGCTGCAGGGACGCTTTGACTGGGAGGATGCTCACGCTCCCAAATGGTCATAGCAGCCCTATGCATCCTGCTCCTTTCTCCCCCTGAAAAAAGGATGCCTATGGACATTAACTCAGCCCCAGTGTACAACTGGGGTCCTAGAAATTGATCAATTTGATCTGCCACTCCATAGGGATCATCTAAGAGTGGCTTGAGTTCCCTCTTCAAGCTTCGGACTTCTGAACTGGTCAGGGGAGCACTTACAAAGCCAATGTCCCCTCCTCCTAGATGCATTTCCCTCAATGGGAAGAGGTTTGTAGCCAAACCCCTAGAGGAAGGGGGAAAAAGGAAGTTTTGGATATCCTTTTTACATTGTTCTAACTCATATTGAAGTCTTCCTGAGGGAGGGCATTCAAGCTGGGGATGACCCCAAGAATCAGAGTTATAAAGAGGGAAAAAAAATCTGAGTAGGGGAACTGTCTGGGACTGTTATATGTACTGGAGGGGGAGGTGGGGGATGTTGGTCTACTGGGTAGAGGGAAGAAAGTTTGGTGGGGGAAGATGGTCTAAGGGGTCCCACGTGTTGGTGGGGTTCTTGGAGTAAGGGGTATTAATTTAATGAGGAGTAGTTTCTGGCTTGTCTCCTTTAGTTTTTAGATGACAAACGAGGATGGGCCCTTGCCGCTAACACAGGGCATAATGTATTTCCTCCTGGGAAACAGGACTCTTATCATTTACATATTCTATTAAAAGCTGGCAAGTTCAATCCTCATTTGACCTGAATTTTGGCCAGAAAACTGAAGGCTTTAGAATAGGTTCCTTGGTCCAAATGAAACAATATACTTTATCATCTGTTGCCTTTTCTTATGTTTAGTCCTCTCATATCCTTCCAATATTTTAACATGAGTCCTAAAGGACAATCAGAGGTGATTTCACTGTCTGCCTTTTCCTTTTTACCTTCTATGTTACTCAGGGTATTTCCCATGTTGAATACTGGTTAGGCTCAGTCCCTCGAACTAGAGATAGGCTCACCTATCCTTCCTTGGAGGTTTAATCTCTACCCTGGAGGTTCCTTGCACTCTTCTCCTTTTGCTTCATGCACTCTGATTGCTTTCCCAGAGGAAATTAGGCTCTCCTTAGCATCAGCAGGACTGTATAAACCCCAAGATCAGGATCCCTACAAGAGGGCCACCATAAGCCGTAAGAGGTGCCCACGGAACCACAGATTGGACTCACTCACTCTGCACTGCAGTAGTGCTTGTTACCTTTCATGCACTTTAACCTCCAGAATATCCTTACCACCAAGGAAATACTGTTGCCCTTGTGACTTTTTTTTTTACCTTGGTCTGTGCACAGAGTTACCTGTGCACAGGTCGTCATGGTACTCGCAGGCCTTCTCCTTCCACATTGCTGAGAGCCTGGATTTATTTGTCACTATGGATAGTATGAACCCCTTGTCCCTGGGGCCACTGTAGTGGAGCAGTGGGGCACACTTCCCCTAGATGGAGTGACCAATGACCCCTTACCAAAGGAGAATGGGAATCCTGGATGAGTCCCCAGAAAATTGTTAGAAATAAAGCTTGGAGTCACAAAGAAAATGAACACTTGAACAAAGGATTTCTCAGCAAGGCAATTTTTACTTCTGCACAAGGGTGCTACCCATAAGCCTGATTGCCACGAGAGCACCCAGAACAAAGGAAACCAGGGGTTTTTATTCCTAACGCAAGTTGTTTCTACTATGTGTCCTGTCTCCATTGGCTGGAGCTGGACCACACAATCTAAGCTGATCCCAGTTGGCTGAAAACTTAAACTTTCCCAAATAAGGTAAAGGCACAATGGGGAGCAAAGGAAAGGAGGGGGTTGTTTGTGGGAAACCAGGAAGACAATAATATTTCCAAATAAGGAAAGAGCATAGGCTGCAAGCTGGGACACGTCTGGTCATGTCCAGGCAGATCCAGGCAGACTAGGGAACAAAGGATTTAGGCCTTGGTTCAAGTACAAGAACATAGAATGTGTTTATTTATGTAACAACTACTTGGGGGCACAATAAGGAGTCATTAGTAAAATAGAAGATTTGCTAGTATGAAGAGGGAGGGAAACTTAAAGGAAGCTTTTAAGAGGAACTATCTTCTTAACACTTATCGTTCTAAACCAAAAAGGAAAACTTTGAAGAGGAACTTTTATTCTTAACAAATTTTCCCTCTTTTTTTTCTAGATTTGTTTAGCTAGTGGTTTGTCAATCTTGTTTATGTTTTTGAAGAACAAACTTTTCATTTTGTTGATCATTTACATGGCTTTTAAAAGCTTTTATTTAGTTCTACTATGATCTTTATTATTTCTTTTCTGCTAATTTTGGATGAGTTTTTTTCTTGTTTTTCTAGTTCCTTAAGGTTCATTGTTATATTGTTAATTTGTAATGTTTCTAATTATTGTAATTTGTAATTATTTCTTTGTTTTGTTTTTCCTGTATAAAAAAGGACCCCAAATATAAAGGTAGGGAGAGGAACAAGAGGGAACATACCCCTTAGTGTAGAGAAATAGGGGGGCAGGAGAAGGAGAAGCCTCAAAAGGAGAGGTAGGAGGGAAATGTTAAGGCAGCAAAGTAATCTCTGTAGAAAGATGGAGGAGGAGCCTCTACAGCCTCAGAGATAAAGGCAAAGATTGCCCTCTCAGTGTCCAGAAGGGAAATGGCAGCTTTTCTTCCTTCCATGGCAGTCACTCCATTGCTCACTCCGGATTACCTTCATCCTTATGCAGATAAGAGTGCTGCAGAGCTTGAAAGGCAGAAATTCGCTTGTGTCGGTTAAAAGTCAGCATTTCCAGCAGCAGCTATGCTCTCAACTCCTCCCTCTCAGGTACCACTGACTGCACTGGGTGGGCCCCTCTGGGGGGAAAGGCTCCACGGGGCAGGGATACATCTCAAGGCCAGTCATTCTCTGGAGGCAGCCCAATCAGGTCAAAGATTTTGCCCAGCTGGTCAGCTTCAGAGTTTCCATAGAACAGAGGCTTTCGACAAAACATCTCTGCAAATATACAGCCAACACTCCACATGTCCACAGGTGTTGCATATGTGGACTGCAGAAGAACTTTGGGAGCTCGGTACCAGAGTGTAACAACCACGGGTGTAAGTGCCATCTGGTAGCTGTAGATTCTGGCCAGGCCAAAGTCAGCCAGCTTGACTGTTCCACCACTTGTCACCAGAATGTTCTCTGGCTTCAGATCTCGGTGAACGATGCAATTTGCATGAAGGAAATCTAGGCCTCTTAGAAACTGGCGCATCAAATCCTTGATGGTCTCGGCTGGCAAGCCTGGTGGGGGTGCCTTGTCCAGATACACCCTTAGATCTTGGTCTACATGCTCAAACACCAGGGTTACCTTGATCTCCCGGTCAGTTCAGGATGTGGCACAGACGTCCATCAGCCGGACAACATTGGGTTGTTCAAAAGCCTCCAGTCGCCTCAGTAAGGCCACCTCCCGAACTGTGCTGATGGGAAGGCCTCCTCCAGCTCTTCCTCCATTGGGGACTCTCACACTCTTGAGGGCCACAAAGTGGCCACTGTGGGGATCACGGGCCTCATACACTGTCCCATAGGCATCGACACCAATTTCAGCCACTGGCTCATATTGAGAGGTAGCCATTCTCAGATCAAAGGCAACCCTCACGCCAGGCCGGGGTGCTGCGGGGGCGGCCCGTTATCAGGGCCCCGGAGCTGGTTCCTACGGCCCCATACACCCGAGCTTGGTCCAGGGCAGCTGGACGCAGAGGGCCCTTCTACTTTTTTTAGGTAGGTATTTATTGCTATAAATCTCCCTTTTAGCCCTGTTTAGCTGTATCCCACAGGTTTTGGTATATGGTGTTTCCATTTTCATTTGTTTCAAGAAACTTTTTGATTTACATCTTAATTTCTCTGTTTACTCAATGGTTATTCAGGAGTACGTTGTTTAATTTCCATGTATTGGTCTAGTTGCCAAAATTTCTCTTGGTGTATAGTTCTAGTTTTATTTCATTGTGGCCAGAGAAGATATTTAATATGATTTCAATTTTTGAAAATTTGTTGAGACTTGTTTTGTGGCTTAACAAAGGCTCTCTCCTGGAAAATGTTCCATGTGTTCATGAAAAGAGTCTATATTCTGTAGTGTTAGATAGAATGCTGTGTAAATATCTGTTACTTTATTTGGTGTAAAATTCAGTTTAAATTCAATGTTTCTTTCTTGATTTTCTGTGTAGATGATCTGTCTCATGCTGAGGCTGGGATGTTGAAGTCTCCCTTCTCTTATTGTATTAGAGTCTATCTCTCTTGTTAGATATAGTGATATTTGTTTTATGAATCTAGGTGCTCCAGTGTTTAGTGAATATATATTTAGAATTGTTCTATTCTCTTCTTGGATGGATCTCTTTATGATTATGTGATGACCTTCCTTATCTCTTAAAAAAATTGTTCTTGACTTACAGTTTATTTTGTCTGCTATAAGTATAGCTACTCCTGCTCACTTTTGGTTGCCATTTGCATAGATATCTTCTTGGCATTCTTCTACCTTCTGTGTCTATGGATTGTCATGAGGTGGTATTACCGGTAAGTTTTTTTGCAAGCAGAATATACTTAAATCATGTTTTCTACCCATTCAGCCATTCTAAATCTTTTAAGTGGATAATTTATTCTGTTTACATTCCATATTTTTATTAATATGTGAGGCTTTGTGCCGAGACCAGCTCTGTCGGGGAGACCCTAACCCAGTGGCGCTAGAGGAATTAAAGACATGCACACAGAAATATAGAGGTGTGAAGTGGGAAATCAGGAGTGTTACAGCCTTCAGAGCAGACAGCCTCGAACAGAGATTTACCCACATATTTATGAACTCAAGCCAGTGATAAGCATTGTTTCTATAGATTATAAATTAACTAAAAGTATTCCTTATGGGAAACAAAGGGATGGGCCAAAATAAAGGGATGTGTTTGGCTAGTTATCTGCAGCAGGAGCATGTCCTTAAGGCACAGATTGCTCATGCTATTGTTTGTGGTTTAAGAATGACTTTAAGCAGTTTTCCGCCCTGGGTGGGACAGGTGTTCTTTGCCCTTATTCCGCTAAACCCACAGCCTTCCAGTGTGGGCATCATGACCATCATGAACATGTCACAGTGCTCCAGAGATTTTGTTTATGGCCAGTTTTGGGGGCAGTTTATGGCCGGATTTTGGGGGGCCTGTTCCCAACAGCTATGTTCCTGTCACATTGTTATTTTCTGGTTGTTTTATATGTCCTTTGTTACTGTCTTTTTCTCTTACTGCGTGTCATTATGATTTGGTGGATTTCTGTAGTAGGACTATTTGAGACCTTTCTCTTCCTCTTTTCTGTGATTGCTTTACCAGTGAGTTTTATACTTGTGTATGTTTTCATGGTGATAATGTGGAAATGTTGAAAATGTTGTCCTTTCAATTGCAGGTTTAGGACTTTCTTGAGCATTTCCTGTAGGCCCTGTCTAGTGGTAATTAAGTCTTTCAGCATTTGCTTGTCTTGGAAAGATAATTTCTTTTTCAATTTTGAAGAATAGTTATGCTTGGTTTATTACTCTTGGCTTGGCAGTTCTTTTCTTTCAGGACTTTGATTATACTACCCTATTCTCTTCTGGCCTGTAAGAGTTCTGCTAAGAAATCTGTTGTTAGAGCTGGGCACGGTGGCTCAAACCTGTAATCACAGCACTTTGGGAGGCTGAGGTGGGCAGACCATGAGGTCAAGAGATCAAGACCATCCTGGCCAACATGGTGAAATCCTATCTCTACTGAAAATACACACACACACAAAATTAGCTGGGTCTGGTGGCATGTGCCTGTCATCCCAGTTACTTGGGAGGCTGAGGCAGGAGAATCACCTGAACCCAGTAGGCAGAGGTTACAGTGAACTGAGATTGCGCCACTGCACTCCAGCCTGGCAGCATAGCAAGACTCTATCTTAAAAAACGAAAACAAAACAAAAAAGAAAAAAAAAAACTGCTGTTAGTCTAATGGGGCTTTCTTTATAGGTGACTAAATGCTTTTTTCTTGCTATTTTTAGGATTTGCATTTTACCTTGGACTATAGAAAGTCTGATGACACGCCATGGAGAAGAATTTTTTGCATTGTATTTTTCTCAGAATTGTTGAACATTTTGTATCTCAATGTCTAAATCACTTGCTAGAGTTGGGAATTATTCATCTATTCTCTCATTAAATAGGTTTTCTAAACTGTTCTTTGTCTCTTTTCTCTTGAGGATACCAATAATTTGAATATTTGGTTGTTTATTTTGTACCAAATGTCACAAAGTCTTTGCTCATTCTTTTTTGTGTGTGTGTTTTTGTCTTACTGAATTATTTCACAACGTGTATCTTCAAGTTTTGGAATTCTTCCTTCTGCCTGACCTAGTATGTTGTTGAAGCTTTCAAATGTATTTGGAATTTCATGTCATGAATTCTTTAATTCCAGAATATCTGTTTTTTTTTTAATCTATATCTTTTGCAAACTTCTTATTCATATCCTGAATTACTTTTATGTTTTCTTTGTATTTTTTTTTCAGAATTCTTTTGTATCTCACTGAACTTCTGTAAAATAAATGTTTTGAATCCTTTATCTGGAATCTTGGAAATTTCTTTTTGATTAAGATCTATTGTGTTCCTTTTGGGCTTTTCTTTTCTTTTTTGCTTTTTCATATTTCTGTGTCCTAACGTTAATATTTTTGCATCTGATATAACAGTCAGTTCTTCCTATTTTTGAATTTTGTTTCATAGTGGAGAACTTTATCTGAAGATGAGTCTATGGTGTTGGTTGTGTGGGGTACTTTGGATTTGATTCTGGGTGTAGTACATAGTAGAGTACTATGGTCTCTGTGTAATTTCTTTGGCTGTAGACAGTGTTAATGGTATCTGTGATTTCTTCTGTGCATTAGGGTGTGGTTATTAGTGAGGCTGTGGTGAAGATGTGCTGGGCACTGGGATGTCACATGAGACAGTCTTCAGGCTCCAGTGGTGGCAGTGGTGCTGAGTGTTCCTATCTTTGTGCCCCAAGGTGGTGTATGCTGGCATTTGTGTTGGTGGTTACTGGTGGGCTGATTCCTGGGCCTCCGGGTGGCTTGCTTGGATGCCAGTAGTGGCAGTCGTTGACTGGGTGGGTGGGTGGGGCCTTTGGCTCCCGGGATGCTAGCTTGGCAGTGGCAATGATGGGCTGATTCTGTGGGTCCCAAGCAGTGTGCATTGTTATTGGCAGCTGTGATAGGCTGGGTGGGATGCCCATAAGTGGTGTTTGCAGGTAGGTGACAGCTAAGGTGATTGCACCCAACCACACGTACCCAGGAGGAGTGCACAGGTGCCCAAGGTGGTGGATTGGGTTGAGGAATTCCCAGGCCCTGGGGCTGTGTTCTCTGTCTCAGTGGGAGGGGTCAATGAAGCTGTTTCTTCATCATTAAATGCTGTGCCAACTAGTCCTCTAATTTTGTTTTTGCATAGAGGACAGAAACATTTATTATAGTTTAGTTCTGCTGGTTGTTTTTTCACTCCCTATATGTCTAAAATTTCTTTGTTTGTTTGTTTTTGAGACAGAGTCTCACTCTATTGCCCAGGCTGGAGTGCAATGGTGTGATCTTGGCTTACTGCAACCTCCACATCCCGTGTTCAAGTGATTCTCGTTCCTCAGCCTCCTGAGTAACTGGGATTACAGGTGTGTGCCACTATGCCTAGCTAATTTTTGTATTTTTAGTAGAGACGAGGTTTCACCATGTTGGTCAGGCTGGTCTTGAACTCCTGACTTTGTGATCTGGACACCTTAGCCTCCCGAAGTGTTGGGATGATGGGCATGAGCCACTGCGCCTGGCCTAACATCCCTTTATTTTTTGATAGATATATTCAAGGTGTGTTAGCTTAATTTAATCATTACACACGGTATACATATATCAATACATCAATCAATATCTTACGAACGTATTATAATTTGTCAATTAAAATTATACGTATATATTTGGAAAAGGTATTGTTTTCTGGGAATAGAATCTAGTTTCACAGCAGTTTCCTTTTAGTACTCTAAAGATGTTGCTCATCTGTATCCTCATCTGCATTGTTTCCAATGAAATAACTGCTGTCATGTTTATTATTATTCTTATTTTTTTCACTTTCTGCTTTTTCCATTTTCTCTTCTTCTGTGGTTTTCAACAAATATCAACAAATACATTTTTGTTGTTGTTGTTGTTTTACACAGAATTATAGAGTGAACTTAAGAAACAATCTATAGGGAGGGCTTTTTGACTATTGGTTGTACATTTTTAAAAACAGTTGTTTGCTCCTTGTTTTATTAGGTCACAGGCTAATTTCCTCAGAGTGTTCTTATATTGAAGAATGTCATAATTCATTTTATTGGTCATCCCTAAAACCATAAAAACCCTAGAAGAAAACCTAGGCAATACCATTCAGGCCATAGGCATGGGCAAGGACTTCATGACTAAAACACCAACAGCAATGGCAACAAAAGCCAAAATTGACAAATGGGATCTAATTAAACTAAAGAGCTTCTGCACTGCAAAAGAAACTACCATCAGAGTGAACAGGCAACCTACAGAATGGGAGAAAATTTGTACAATCTACTCATCTGACAAAGGGCTAATATCCAGAATCTACAAAGAACT